ACCCTGATGATAGAACCAAAAAAATACCAAAAAAGTGAAAATATTGGAAATGAATTAACGCTTAAAGATATTGAATTCGAATTGGTCACTGGTATATCTATTGAGAATATTTCCCACATATGTGATAAAGACACAGAAAAGATGGCATATTTATCCTACGAGCGTCCATATATGGTGAATCTTTTTTACCAAGTCTAACAACACATGCAAATTATAAGCAACATATTGTGCGGTAATTGTTTGAAAAGCTTACATGGTTTTAACGTAACTACAAAAGAAATTCTATATATAAGTAGCTAGGTGATTTTCACGGAGGGTTTGGATTATCATTTTTTTTAGTTTGAGTTTGTGCATCACCTCTTGAATGATTACGATTTTATTTAAAATAAAATTCAAGGAATCATCCTTCAAAACTGATGGCTTCCAAGAGATGCTATCACATGTAATTCCATATATACATTAATCAGAAACAAGCACACATTAATATATGTGTGGGGAACTTTAGTTGGGTTTTAAATTATTTTGGAAATCCAATAAAAAAAAACAACTGTGGGTAAAAAGGACTGTAGAGATATCTCACGCATTTGTGTATCACGGTCCTCTGGCTTCTAATAAAATGTCACAATAAACTAATCGGCCCAGTTTTTGTAAGGGAACATCTTTTTAATTCCTACTATATATATAATGGACGTGAACTAAGTAATTGATCTCATACATAATGATTTTGTAGAAACAAAACTTTATGCACAATGACAATATATAATGATAGCATCTAATGTCGACTTAAAATTAAATTGGAAAAACTATTGGAATTGCAATTCTGTAATTTCCATTTTTTTTATTTTTAGTATACAATTTAAAGGGAACAAGTGAGATGGAGATGTCATGTTTTAATATTGATGTTTATATTAATATTATCACTCTTTGATTGGCCAATTCGAAAGATAGTTGGTCTTCTATAGTGATAAGCAAATTTTTATAGAACTATGAGACTTGTAGTTTCAAAAATTGACTATGTTTTTTGGAATAAATAAATCCTTCAACGGAGGCTAAAATAGACTCATTTGAGATTATAACTATTTTTGGAGATTACCTAAACACACAAAAATAACACAAAACTGATTGAATGTTGCAAATTATGATTAACTGAAAAGATACCTTCTAAGTTATTGTGATCAAGCTCTAGAAGTTGAAGTTTTGTCAAATTTCCAATGCCTCTTGATATAAGGCTAATCAACTTATTATAACTTAAGTATACAATTTTCATATATAATAGATGATTATTTTTTAGAGTATCTCCTACGTAGGCTAACCAACTTATTATAACTTTAGTATATAATTTTCATATATGTATACAGTATCTTCAAGAATATTTATTATGCCATGGTTCAACGATTCAGAGATGAAAGGAACAAAATCTAAGAAAAGCAATGCTGTTGTTTCTGAAAAATATGATAGTAATCCATTACGAGTTGTTGGAAACATAGTTAAGTTTTCAATGTTAGTTAAAATCAAAATTATAAGGATGCTTACAAAAAAAATAGCAATTACTTAAAATTTTCATTGTATATCAACATCATATCTCTGTCTTTTCAAAAAACTTTCTTCCACAAAATTGGCTTCCAAACGAAATAATTGTAGACTTATTTACAATTTAATTTGGGCATATTCTTACAATCATCACTTAAATGAACAATAATTAACGGGTTAGTTTTGTATAATCATTTAAATGTAACAACAAAATTTCAGTCACATCATATGCATAATTTTAACCTACAAGTAATTAAACAAACGACACAAAGGTTAGGTTTAGGCTCTAGAATGTAGGCTTGTTCAAGTCTTTTCAGCATATAAGTGCCAAATATAAGAGAATAATCAAAAATGGCATATATTAAGCAAGTAAGATATTGGGAGGATTACTATCAAGTCCCAAGTGAGGATATAATCAGTCAAAACCTCAGCAGCACACGCAAATTGATTAAAATATTAAGTGCCTCTTTGGATTTTAGTTGGGTATAATAGATTATAAAAATAATTGATTAAATGGTATATTTTAATCATAATTAATTATATTATAATGTAATCTATTTGAATATTGTTTTTCTAAAATTGATTTTAACAGAATTGAAGATGTTTGGATAATTTATTCATAATTAATTTTAGCTGTATAAATTACCATAAAGGACATTGCCTTTCAAGAATAAGTTATTGATAAATTTGTATCTAATATTTAAAAAGTAAAATATATTATTTAAATTATATATCTGATTAATTATAAAAATTTAAATTATATTAATATTAACAATTTTAATTTACATAAATAAATAACTCAATATATTTTAATTCAAATAAATTTTATAAAAGAGAAAGATTTTATTCTTAAATACCAAACATCAATTTTACAATAACTAATGAAGATGATAATGTACAAGTTGATCTCTAATGACATCACAAATATAAGCCATATCTAACAAAGACATTAAGCATTGTTTAAAAATTTTGACAACATAAAAAATGTAGTCATATAACAAATGATACAAAATCTCTCTCTCTCTCTCTCTCTATGGACCTTTGCAATAATCTTTATAATGATCATCAATTTTAAATTAAATGAAATTAATTTTTCTCTACCAATTAATATTTTATTTAAATTAGTTTTATAGCAAGTGTTTAAAGGAGGGTTTAAAGTTTGAATTTTACCAAAAAAAAAAAGAAGAAGAGAAGATAGTTTGATTTTATTTTTATTAAAATTTGTGCCTCTCTTATAATTTTTTCTTGGGCATTCTTTGTAATTTTTCCCATATGTCTTTGTAATTTGAACGCAAAAAGCTGCCTCTGATGGCTTTGCAGAAAAATCAATTTTTTGAAAAAAATTATTTTTTGGAAAAATTGCCGTTTGGATAATTAATTGCAAAATCGATTTTTTCCCCTCAAAAAATTGATTAATGAGCTATCCAAACACACACTAAGTTAGCAATTGTTTGAATAGTTTTACGTGTTTTCAACATAACTATAAAAGGAATTCTATAAAACAAAGCATGCGAGGTGAAAAAATTATGTAGCTATTGTTAAAAGAGCACTGCAAAGAACATTTGATTATTCTACCATAGTCAAATTAAAAAAATTATTATTTCTGATATATAATTGAAAAATAACCAGCATCAAATATTAATTTTCTCAAAGGAAGTTAATTTGAAAAAGGAAGTATACTTTGATAATTCGAATACCTGTTTAGAGGACATGGAGTTGGAAATACAAATCTTCACATTGTCAATAACAATATTGTATGCTCGCCTTTGGTTTGTAGCCAAAAAAAGAGGTAAATAGAATAATATTTCCATACAATATCATGTGGATGCAATTGAGGGACACACATCTGACCAAGAATAACACACAAAAATACCATAAAATTGATGAAAAGTTATACATTATGATTGGTTGAAACTGTACCTTCTAAGTTTTTGTGATCGAGATATAATTCTTGAAGCAAAGTAAGTTTCCAATACTTCTTGGTATTTGGCCAGACAACTTGTTAACACCTAGACCTATTATTTTCAGGTTTGTGAGAGCACCGATTGTTTCGAGAATATCCCCTACAATATGATAATGAGAAAACCACATCATTACGAGTGCTTGTACAAAACGATTATGATAAAAAAGAAAAATAAGTAACAAATATAATTTTATGAATGCATTCTTTTGAAGTTATTGTGATCAGCATATAATAACTCCTACATTTGTATTTAAAAATGAGAAAATAATAAATCTCTTAAATCAAACAACTTTTTTGATACGTAGCTGATAATTTGAGCTCTACACAATGTAAATTATCAACCAATTATTATTGGACAAAAAAATTCTTTTTCTCAAGTTAAATAGACCAATTTTGAAATTGTACTTATTTTTTTAGGTTGCATAAATGATTAGGTCAAAGTAGAAAGTGCATCATTATGTGGTGCGTTTGCCTGCGTTATTCAATGAAAAGGTGATGGGTTCAGTAATATTAAAGTGTATATCTAGAAAATTATTCGGTGGGTTCAGTAATATTAATAGAATTAAAGATAAATGAATATATTTTACCCTAAAAAGTAAATGAATCATAATCATAAATATGAAAACTTACGTATAAAAAATAGGAAAAATTTATGTATTTAGCGTCATATGCTTAAGGAGTCTGTTTCTAGTTAAATCAAGACATTTGCGTCTTTATATATTATTTATCCTATAAAAATTTCTTACTACTAATACATTAGAGTCTATGTGTCTTGATTTGATTAGTAAAAGTATATTAAGTAAAAAAATTTAGAGTTACTAATAATAATTATAATATATACAAAATCCAGCGAAAATGATGTATAACATATATAATACTATATAAAAATATGAATAAATTATTAACTTTGTTGAAATTGAATCATTACCATTCCTGAATCATTAAAATGTGATTTTTTGTATTCTTTACAATTTTTTATTGAAGTAATTTTTTAAAGCTAATATGTTTGTTAATATGTTTTATCTTTTATATTTGTATTTTTTAATTTTTATATTAATATACATAATCTATTTCTAATAAAATTTCTTGCCGACCTTGATTTTGACTCCAGCCTTGGTTCAAATGAAAATAGCCTGAAAATATAATTATCTTTTGAAGATATTTGTTTCATGCCATCTGTAAAATTCTTACGTGTGAACAATTGTCAGTTCAATTCAGTAGATTAATTACGCTTATAGGGTAATACAAATATTAAGATTAGTCAAAATTGTAATGTGATAGACAGTAAATAGTTCAATCAAAGGCATAAGAAAACCCAACCTTGAAAGCCTTTTAATGAATGTCTAATTAATTTATATCCATCAAATAGTTCAGTGAAAGATATATCATATATATAAATATATAATAGTTATATCACAGATATTCTAGACATACCTGATAAAGAGTTGTAAGATAAAACGATCCACTCAAGTGAGGATAAGTTAGAAATGGTTGGAGATATTGTTCCTCAAAGGTTATTCCTTGAAATGCGTAAAATCTTTAAACTCTCAAGTCTTCCAATCTCGAATGGAATGGATCCTTTTATAAAATTTGATTTGCATTCCAAGCTCTCCAAATTTTGCAAATTGGATATACATGGAGGAGTAACACCCTCAAAACCATTATTGTTGAGAATCAAGTGTTGAAGTGCAGACAAGCTTCCAATCCAAGTTGGGCTTACTCCATTAAATGCATTATAGCTCAAGTTGAGAATTTCCAACTTGCGTAACTGGAACAACTCTTTTGGCAACTCACCATAAAAGTTGTTGCTGTGAAGGTTGAGTTTCACGAGGAAAGATAGATTTCCAATTTGTGAGGATAAGGTTCCCTTAAGATCCATTTCACTAAGATCCAGGATCCTCACTCCCATAATTAGAATCACATGTAACCCCTACCCAATTGCAGATGGAAGAAGAGTTGGACCAATCATCCAAGTGATTATAAGGGTCTCTCACAGAAAACCTCAAGGCACGAAGTGCCAATTCATCAGTACTGAAATTGGTATGACAACAAGTAGGGTGAATCATGAGACAAAGCAATAAGAACATGGAGAAGGAGAAATGACGAAGGTTCGCCATGGTGTATGGATTCTTAGGTTGAAGAAGAAAGAAGAGCAGGCGGCCTTACTATAAATATGCAAGGAAGATGATAAGGACAGCTTTTTAATGCTTTGGAATTATATATATATATATATATATTTTAACATAGAGCACAAATGAAGACATGTCCATTTAACTTTTCAGATTATAAATTTTAAATTTTTTCCTTTACTGTTAAAGTATCAGAATTGTGATGAAATGGTACGATAGAATTTTCAAGGGAGAATTCATGAATACGATGCAAAATTCTCAAAAAAAGAAAAAGAAAAGGATATATATATATATATATCCCATTTTGCAAATGATTTACAATATAGAATGATGTTTATTTTTTTTTATTAGCCACATCTATGAGTTCTCAATAAGCTGGCCATTTTTTTTAGCAAGTATAAGGGTATTAAGAGCAAACATAGACATTTCCCAATTAGGATTTGAATCCCCAACTATTCATTAAGTGACCCAAATTCCTGCCATCCATGCTAACTAGTTAGCCTGGGCATTTTTCTTATTTTTAGAGCTCCAATAGTTTTAATTACAGGCTCAACACTTGCACCATGCATTGAAAGTGGAAAATAATTTTTAATGAGATTATTTAAAAAACTTATAATAAACTTATTTTTATCAATTTATAAAATCATAGGAGTGTTTTGAATATTCGATTTTGGCAAAAATAATGTACCGACTATCATAATGAAAACTACTGCATAATTGCATTAGCTTGGCCAAGAACAAAATTCTCATTATTGTGTCATTTTTCCCAAGATATGAGTATCTGAGTTGGCTTGACCAATGAAAAACGAGGACACCAACCAAAAAATTATTGTCACAATTAATGGCTTCTTTTTCTTGTTAGCTTCAATAATAAGTTGAAAATAGCCAAGACAATACTCCTTTAATCTTATATATTTATATAAGTCATTTTTTATTATCTCATCATAATAAAGTAGATGTAATGGAAAAAAAATTAAAATTTCTCAATTTAACAATATTATTAAATGCATCATTTTTTTAAATATCTCTCTCTTATATATACTATTTTACTCTATTTATTATAAATTGTGAAACATAGAATGGTGCCGTTTTCTCAACGCAAACTTAATGTTCAAAATGAATTGAAAGAAATATACAAAAAATATGTTTGACTTATTATGCAGCTGGTCCATAAAAACAAACTTGTATTATTATGCCGCTGGTCCAAAGGTAGAACCTTTAGTTTGCTGTCAATGAAATGACTTGATTTACTAAACGGGCACATACTTTCTAGTTATAAAATTATGTTTAATGAAAAATGATATTGAGTCTAACAAGAATAACCCACATTTAATACCCAACTGCAATGATGAACCTAAAATAATTAATTAGTGAGAGAAAAATTTGTTTTAAGATAAATATTAATATTTTTATTAAATTAATTTTGAAAATTTATTAATTTATATTAAATATAAAATTTATTAAAATTAAATACTGCCAAAGAAATGTGCATAAAACATTAACGTTATGTCTATTAGTCTCTTACTTTTCATTTTAATTAATAAAAAATTACTTTACCTCTTTTGTATAGTATAGAAATTCTGTGATATAATTTTCAATTTAAAAGATTTTTAAAATTATTTTTTTCAAAATTATTGCTTCCTTCTTTTTTAAACTCTTGCTATTTAAGTTTATAAACATAAATAAGATTTTCGTCAATTAAATTTAGGTTTTAACACATAAAACTCTTGTAAAAAAATAACACTTATTTTACTCTGTTTATAAAATCATATTTTAAATATTTAAATTTGGAAAAAATAATTTAAAGAATATTCAATTTCTAATATACTTATTCTAATCACATTTATAACGTAGACTAGCAGGGAAAGAAAATTTTGTTCATTTTAATTATAAAAAATGTGGATTTTTTTTATAAAAAACCTTATTTAAACATTGGCGTGTGTTAATATATTATTAAAACAAGTATATTGGATAGAAGTAAAATTAAAATTTCTTAGATGTTCCTCTGATTATAAAAAAATTAAAAATTTATTAATCTGTAAAGAAAGCCAATGAATTTAATTTTTTTTTGAATGAAACATGCTGAAAATATTTTACAAATAACCGTACTGAGTAGAATTTGCTAAGAAATGTTTAGGAAATTTTCTCAGTTATAGAATCTCGATATTTTTCATTATAAACAAAGGAAAATACACCAACCTTCCTTTCTATTATATCTTAATAGATAAAAAAGTGGTTTGAGCTACTTTATGTGAACTTCTTCTGCAATTTCATATGATAGATTTTGTATTTCTTTTTCTTTCTATACATGAGTAGAAATGACTTTATATCACCCTGTAGTTGTATATGTATAAAGTTTAACTTATCTTATGTTAATATATCTTTTTATGTAAGAAGAAAAACATATTTGTTTTCAAGCAAGTCTTCAATTGTTCGGTGTATAAATTAATAACTTTAACCAATAATCCTAAAGGAATGTGATATGTAAAGTTGAGGTCTCTAATTGTATTAAATACTATTACTGGGTCAGTAACTGTCATTTTCGATCCGCAGAAAAAGAAAATGACAAAATTATGATTAAGGCTAACATACATGGAGCAATCTTAACCACTGGTTTTAACTTTGCGCATGTCCAACACAAGACTGACCAACACCCAAAAAATTCCCACAAAATTATTTCCTGAAAATGAATAGAAAAACGAGATTATGAGATTTTCTTTTGTCATATCAATGAGCTGTAAAATGTTTAGACAATTTCTTCAATTACATAGCCTCAATAGATATTGCTATCAAATGAAAGAAAAGTCAGACCAATAAATCAAGTTATTGTAAGGGTCCTTAACAGAAAATTAAACTTGAAACCAAGTGGTGTCCCCTTTTCATTTGTAGTAAAATCGGGTGACTAAGAGTAAAACAAACAAATTATGAGGCAGGGGAAATGAAAAAAAATATTTGCCATAGTGGATAGGCTTAAGGCTTTTTAGAAGATATTAATGGAATGAAAAAATTTATTTTATTTTACATATATATATATATATATTGATCTATAAACACCAACTTATGATATAAATAAAAAAATTCCATAAAACATAGCCCAAAAAAATTACCAAGGTAAAAAAATGATTTTAAAAAATTTATTTAATTTGTTAATCTTAAATAAAAAATATTTAAATATCCCAAAAACATAATTAAAAAAATAACATTTAGGCTCATTGGACAGTACAATTTATTCATCAATTATCATGGATGTAGATAATTTTCCCTCTATGCTGTCCACTGATTAGACGAAATAGGCATCATTTACCAAGAAAATTATAACGAAGGACCTAGAAAAATAATATTTATTGGAGAGAATATTAAAAATAGTTATTACTTAAAAGTATAAAATATCAAAATATATTTTTAAAATATTATATTTCCCCTAATTATATTTCCTATACTCTTTCTAACCACGTCTCACATGTTGTATTTGATAGTTACTAAAAAACTCATTATTTGAGAGAAAGCTATTTTTTTATATGACAACGAGATGAAAAAACAACAAACTAAAACAAAGTTAAATTAATGCCTAGAAGCTTCAGTAAGTTAATAATCTCATTTCTCTTAAAAATTTATTAGTTCAGAGTTTGAGACATTGTATTCTTGGAAAAATTGAATAATTGTTCAAAAGTAAATATTTTAAAATTATATTCATTTAATTTTTAAAAGTAAATAACTTAAAAAACCATATTGATTCAATTATTTAAAAGTAATATGTTTTAATTAAATTTAATACTATCTTTTGTTTTTGGGTGTGAAATTGAAAGTGCACAACTTTATTTTTTAAATAATACCTCCACTTCAGTATACATCTTCCCACCCCCATTCTCCCCCCATTTCTAATAAATTACAGGAAAAGTTAAATATTTGGTCCCAATCTTTTGATAAGTCTTTGTAAGTTACATTTTTAAATGACTACTCGAAGTTTTTAAAGTCAAATCATTAATTCCTTACCTTCTGGTTTGATGGGAAGAGAAATTGGGAGGAAAGAAAATGAGAGAAGACAAAATGAAAAGGAGAGAAAAAAAAAAAAAAATGTTGTCACTTCGTGTATTTGGGTAAATAGGAGAAAATAGAAAGAAAAATAAAATAAACAAATATCACAATAACTAAAATATCCTTATATTAATATATCATGTTTCATAAATTATTTTCATAAAAACAAATTGAAGATAAAACTTTATTATAATTAGAATAATCAAAATAATTAATTTAAAATCAAATTATTTGGTCCAACAACCAAATAGACACTTGTACAATGTTTGGTAAGTAGAAAAATAGTTTCTAGCTAAAAAGAAAAGGCAAATTCATTTATTCTATTTTCTTTCTAGGTACATTTCTCATTTTCATTCTAAAATTTTTTTTATTTTTCTATGTACCAAACATGCAATTAAGATACAAAAGTTCTTGCACGAATAGTTGAGGGGCAAAAATGCACATTAATCCCAGGGTCAATTAAAATATAACAATGCAAATATAAAAAATTAACAAATAAAAATACATGAATGACTTTACTAAAGTCTTCAAATTTTTTTAAAAAAATTAAAGATTCTAGGAAAATATAAAAATTAAATAAATTTAGATAAAAGTTACAATAAAAAAAATTCATAGTACTTTAAAAATATTAAAAATTAAAATACAAAAATATGGTTGTAAGTCTCAAAATCTCAATCCTCTCCCCACTAATCATAGAAGAATCTCTCTTGACCGA